AGACTTATCTTGGTTTTTGTTGTTGGAGAGATAGGCCGGCGAAGGATGTCGGCAGGCGGGTCATGGCTCGGGAGACGGTGCTTCTAGGTGGATGGCTCGGCGTTGGGCTTCCCTCATGGGGAAAGGTCGACACTCACCTCGATCGGGTCAACCCCTTCTATGGGCCGAGCGGCTAGTTGGAGGGGCCAGCCAAGCCACCACTACCGCTAGGAACCTTGTCCGCCTCACCGATGCTCGGTTGGTCGAGCCCTGCTGCTGCCTTGGTTACTTCCTCCATCGGTGCCCTTCCTGCGTCGTGGCCAGATCCGTCAGGATCACAAGGGGCGATGAGCGTGGCCGCTTGGGCGACGTAGTCTTCCTCGTAGTAGTAGGCTTTTTCGAAGCTTCCTTTGATGGTGATGACCCCTGTTTGGGCCGGGCATCTTGAGCTTCAAGTAGGTGTAGTTGGGGACGGCTATGAACTTGGTGAAGAACGGTCGATCGAGGAGGGCATGGTAGACGCCGAGGAAGTCAACAACCTCAAAGGTGAGTGGCTCTCTTGCGGAAGTTGTCCGGCTGGCCAAAGGTGACGTTGAGCCGGATGCGCCCGAGGGGCACGGCTTCCTTTCCCGACACGATCTCGTAGAATGGTGCCTTGATGGGGCGCAGGTTGCTGTGGGGGGTGCCCATCTTGTCGATGATGCTGGTGTAGAGTATGTTGAGGCCACTGCCCTCATTCATCAGCACCTTGGTGAGGCGTGTGGTGCCCATGATTGGGCTGACCACGAGCGGGTAGCACCCCGAAAGAGGGACACTATCGGGGTGGTCTTCCTGGTCGAAGGTGATGGCCGTCTAGGACCATCAGAGCCGCATCGGAACGGCGAGGGTGTGAACGGCATTCACCTCCTGCTCGGTGATGCAGCGCTGCCGATGAGATTCATAGGCCTGGGAGCCCCGAAGATCATGAGGCAGCGCTCGGCTTCCGAGAACTCGATGTCTTCCTCTTGGGCGCCTCCCGCCGGGCCACTGGCCTTCGGGGCAGACTTCTAGTCCTTGCCCAATTGGCCGAGGGTGCCGCGGATGTAGCCCTTCATGGTAGCGCAGTCCTTGAGGAGGTGCTTTGCCTACCCCCCGTGGAACGGGTAGGGGGCCTCGAGCGCCTTCTCGAAGTGTTCTGGGTGTGTGCCTCACCCACGGGGTGAGGTTTGGCTGCGCGGTCGGCTGCGGCCACCATCTCCTCCCCGTGGCGCTTTCGATCCTTGTTCCTCCTGTCGTGGCGTCGCTAGGACGAGGCAGGGTCATCGCCGCCATCGCCTTCGCTGAGGTGATCGGCGGCCTTGGCTTTGCCCCTAAAGTTGTCCTAGACCGCCTCCTCGCCAGTGGCATACTAGGTGGTGACATCTAGGAGCTCCCTCATCATGCGCGGGGTCTCGCGGCTGAGCGCATGGACGAGCACCTCACAGGTCGTGCCGTAGATGAAGGCGTTGATGACATCAGCGTCGGTGATGTTGGGGTGCTCATTGTGCTTCTTGGAGAAACGTTGGATGTACTCTCGAAGGGTCTCGTCGGGCCTGTACCTATAGTTGTGGAGGTCCCACAAGTTCCTAGGCCGAGTGTACGTACCTTGGAAGTGGCTGATGAAGACAGAGTGAAGATCACCCCAGCAGCGGAAGCTGCTAGGCTCGATCTGCTCCAGCCAGGCTCTGGTCGAGCCTGACAGAAGTAGAGAAAGGTACTGGACAGCGAAGTTGTCGTCTGAACCCCTCGGCCTTCATGGCGAGGCGGTAATCCTCTAGCTAGTGATCCAGTTGGTCTTGTCGTCGTACCTGGAGTTGTACGTCGATGGTCGAAAACGCCTATGTCGGGGCTGCTCGGATCGCTGCCCTGAATGCCGGGGGCCGAAGTGATCTGAGGCAACGCCCCCACCCCGTTGCACAGGGGTATGGGACAGTGCCTGAGCGTGGCGCCTAGCCTTGATGGTGTCATGGATGTCGCGGTCATCGTCGATCCGGTGGCGCACGGGGGGACGCCGAGGAGAAAGGTCACGCCTTCGCTCCTACCGAGGCTTGGCGCCCTGAGTCCATGGCCGATTGGAGCTGTTGTCGGAGGTGTCACCGCTGCTCCCTCTGCCTGTGGGGCGTGAGCGTCGGAGCAGTCCCCATTAGGAGTGGCTATCATCTAGGACGACAAGGAAAGCGCGGCGCGGCACCGAGACGCCGAGCTCTCGGCCTGCTGCTCGAGGGCGACGCAAAGGAGCCGCTTCACCTTGTTCAGCCGCTCAATGGTCTTCGGGTCTGGTGTGTCAGAGATGTCTTCTAGGTGGCAAGGGCGGCCGCCATGTTGTATGCTGCACGGGGAAAGCAGAGGCCACTGGGAGCCACCGTGCGAGTGTCTTCGTCGTCACCGAGAGGGTGCATGGCTCGCTGCTGTGCAAGGTCCTGCATTTGGCACTCGAGCTCTGCCTCGGCGGCCTCCACTGACCGAGCCTCGTAGGCGATCCTCCTTCTCTTGGAGGTAGGCCGCGTGGCTGCGGGGACTCTGGTCCGACGGCGTGAGCCCGGGCGCCTCCTCGGCAAGAACCTCACCATCGATGTGGTAGCACATGAGTGGAGGGGCACTGTAGCCGACGTCGTCGGAGTCATACTCTGAGTCGCTCCCCGAAAGGATGTCGAGGAAGGTGCACAGCGATAGGACGTTGGTCCCCGCCCACGCTAGAGAGGATGGTGCTCCATGACGCCTCGTGACAAATGAGGTGCTCTAGCTCCATTTGGAAGGACGCCGCCACGTTCTGGATCCCAAAAGGCAAGTCTGGGAGATAGTACCAGAAGCGGTCAGGTGGTGGGAGCACCTCACCGATGGCGATCTGGTGATGGACGTTGGCCAGCATGTAGAACATGTGGTGGGGTTTGGGCCCAAATCACGCCAGATCTGTCGGACTGGGACCTCGAGATCTGCTCCCAAAAGTCCTGGCAGAGGGGGTGACGCTAGGGGCTCGTTGCTGTTGGGGCAGCCCATGGAGTGGATGAAGCTCGTCGTAGCAGTCGGCGACGTAGGCCAGGCTCCCAAAGTTGAGGACCTAGCCTAGAGCGAAGGCGCTGGCCGTGATGGAGAACTCGCCGAGGAAGTGGACACCGCTGTCAGGGGCGGTGCCACTTGCTCCAGTGACAAGGCGGGTGGCTCCGCCACTGTAGAGCCTGAATCGCACTTAACGCTGCCTCCTACCTGGCATGTCAGCTGTCGTGGGGTTGTAATTGCGGCAAGCATTGTTGTTTGAGTCGGTGTCAGAGTACGGGTATCCGGTGGCTCGGGTGGACTCAAGAACACAAGAATCATAGAGAGGACGCAATGGTTTATCCTGGATCGGACCAATCGGTGTCCTACGTCCAGTAGCTGATGATCCTTATACTCAAAAGCATCCAAAATCGGGGGGTTACAACAGGGTTGTAGAGAGATTTGGTAGGGGTTTAGCTCGGTGCTAATCCTAAGGTTGGCTCGCCATCGGTGGTGCCTTCCCCTTGTCGGAGAGGAGGAAGACGATGACGGGATGCGGTGGAGGAGCTCTCAGTGCCCTCGGTGGATTGCCTTGCTCTCGGTGCTGAGCGGAGGCCAAGGAATGGAATGGAGTCGAATGATCTGACTTCTCCTCCCTCTCCCCTAGGTCCACCTTATCCCTTATATAACGAGATAGGTCGGGTACATGGCGGTTTGGGGGAACTCGTCTATGGTCTACATGCGCCAAAGTCCAGGAGGGCCTTGTAGCGACGTGCTGTGGACCATAGGCGGTGTTGTGGAGCCGAAGAAGCCTTGGGCGCTGTCCGGCTACTCTGTTCTAACACTCTACGTGTCAGGTTGTGTCGGCTTGGACCGGCCTCCGCAGGTGGACCTTCTGGAGTCTTCTTGTCGGTGAAGGAGGTCGGCTTCAGGGGCTGACGCGGGGCCCGGGGCCTTCGAGCCCCTAGAGGACGCTGGAAGCTTTGTCTTCTTGTGTCACACCCCGTGCGTGACCTTGTTGGAAAAGTGGCCAGCAATGCCGTGACCAAGGGGCAGCGCCGGGGAGCCCCCGAGCCTCGGTAGCTTGGGGCGTGTCTTCTTGCACCCGAGCCTTGGCTAGCATCGTTGGCGGGGCAGGAGCCAAGACCGGGCCAAAGTGTTGTCGTAGATCGGGAGTCTTGGGGCTCGGGTAAGCCCCCGAGCCCCAAGCGGAAGTCATGGTGGAGTCAGCCTTGGCCGGGCTTCTTCTCCAGAGGGTGCGCATGAGCGTACCTGATAGGTATAGCCCCGAGCCCCTCGGCGATCCTGGAGGGGTCGGCCGGGGATCTTCTTCGTTCAGGAGCCACTGGACCGAGGCTTAACATACCCATATGTTAGGATCTCGTCACATAGCAAAACCAGCTTGCAACAGGGCAACAAGGAAACAATCCATGTAAGATGTTCATAACTTCGTCTCCGCAAGTAGTATGAGTGCAAGAATCAAATTTAACATGCAATTGTGCTGACCTAAAAGCTGATCTCCAACCTAGATTTACATTAATTTTGGGACAAGATTTAAACCATAGGATCACATTCTTTTTGAACGGAGGGAGTGGTATTTGAGTTTGGGAAAAAAATTCGTTGTCACCGGGACTCGAGAGCACTCCCTAACAGGTTGATTGGATCTCTTCAATCAAAATATAGTTTTTACTAATGCATCGATGCATTTAGAGATAGCACGCTTTATATTATGAGACATAAATAAAAAGTGGTTTGGTCTTGTATATTAGGATCGAGGGACTAATACTAAGAACAAAGTCATTAATGAGTTCTGAAGTTTTTGGGGCTGTGTTTACCTGAGGTTAAGGCCCTTCTATTCGCTTGTCCTATAATCCATACTTTTTATCTTATTTTCGCATTTTTTTCTCATAACAAATCAACCGAAATAATGTTTCGATTTATTTTTTTCATCCAAGCGAAAAGGGAAATCCGCAACGCTTTGGCTCCTCTCCTTTGTCCTCTCTCACAGACCACGGGAACTGGAGACGCCGATGTCGAGCATAGCTAGTCAAACCGATCGGCTGGTGTCCCATTTCGTACTGCACGCCTCCGCCGGTCCGCCCCCGATGATTGCGGCTACAAGAGGCGGGCTCAGGGGGCCCCGACTCCTCCTGTCCGTCGCCGTCCTCGTGCTAGCCATTGCTCTCGTCTTCCGCTCCCTCACCCCGGCAGTCCCGCAAATGGCCGACGACCTGCCCACCTCCATCTACGACATCACCGTCAAGGTGGTTATTGCCTGCAGATCTGCTAGGCGTTATTCCCCTTTCTCCCTTTCTCCTCTCTGCTACTTGCTCAGCTCGTTGCTATTTGAAAGATTCGGGTTGTTTTCGCTACCGTAGTGAAATCCTGATTTAGATTGGAGTAATTGGTGACAAGATGATGGCTTTGCTGTTCAAGATACCTTTCTTGTGAAATTGAGTTTAATACTGAAACCTGCACTGACGTTGGATGTAAACGGGACGAGGTAGAAAACTGAATTTTTGACCTGGGGGAACTGTTATCTTAATTCAAATTGCGTGGAACTCTGGTTGTCTCACTGCAAAGATGTACTGTTGGGTGGACCTGTCAAAAGTGAAAAAAGTGTCGTATGTCCTTATCGCAATAGATGTATGTGCCTTTTTTTTCTCTTACTTTGCGTTATTCTATCAGGAACTTCTGCGTCATTTGCTGGCCGCACCCAGCACAGTAACATAGGCATTCTTCAAATTTCATAGCTGTGCATTATTACCTGTGACCTCAATTTACATATTATGGTCTTTGTCTTTGCAGACTTGTTTCTGAACTGATATTTTGTTCTTGTAAAGGATATTAGGGGTGATGACATAAAACTGAGTGAGTATGCTGGAAAGGTTCTTCTTATCGTCAATGTTGCTTCAAAATGGTAACTTTTGAAACTGAACTTTGTTATTTAACATTGCAATCTAGCCTACATCAGATCATATTAAACATTTAAAAAAAATATATCAATGGTCTTCTGATGAAAATGGATGTCCCTTTCTCCAGGTTTTAATTTATTCATTTGAGCGAAAATCATATAGATTGTTAACCTTTAGAGAGTTGAAATGAATACTATATCCTCCAAGGTTATTCATCATGCTGTATCTATTTTCCTTAACTTGATAGGATAGAGTTATCTTGCATCTGTCTTGAACTCAACTTGTACTATGAATTTGAGTTGCTGTACAGTATAGATAATTCTGCTATAACTGAGAGCCAATGGCTTCTGTGTGGGCCTTTCAGGAAGGTGAATCTGGCATTTTATATTCTGTTCTTAGACGGATGTATGTTTTTGCTTGTTGCTGGCTATACCTATACACATATTACTTACTATACCACAGACTACTCATGTTGTAAACAGGTCACTCCAGTGTAGCAAACTTGTGCGTTGTTGTACATGTTTTCCCCTGTTCAAGTCATAGTTGTAAGATTGAATGAAGATGCCTCAAAAAATAGATGCTAGAGCAATGTTTTATTTTATTTCACAGTTGAAACATATGTGGAACTTGTGGTTCATTGGTTTTACTTATTTTGTAGTGGGCTAACAAGTTCCAATTACAAAGAGCTAAATGTCTTGTATGAGAAGTACAGAGAGAAAGGTTTGTTCTTTGACTATAGGGTTCTCATGCAGAATCATACCTGAAATAATATGAAACTATATCTTTCCTTTATCAAAATGAATTTATCTCATTTCCTTGGCTTCCTTTCACTCTTGCATGCAGGCCTTGAGATACTTGCATTCCCATGTAATCAATTTGCTGGTCAAGAGCCTGGCAGCAATGAAGATATCCAGGAGACAGTTTGTAGCAGGTTCAAAGCAGAGTTTCCTATTTTTGACAAGGTAAGCAATTTGACCTGTGAGCTTTTCTTTTGCAGTAACTAACATATTATGAATTCAGAGTTTTCTATCATACATCTGAATATGTGAAATAAAAACAACCCACATTGCTATCTCATGGTATCCTAGATGATATTGTTTGCATGTCATATCAGTTGTCATTCTTCAGGGTTCGTTGACGTGATTGCTATTTATTTTAAATTGGAAGTTTGTTATAATCAAGTTGACTGGACCAGGCAGAGATGTGAACAGAGTAGGAAATTTAAACATTCCTTAACCCTTGTTACTAGTGTTTTCGTTTTCAGAAACCTGTTATGCATGAGTACAAGAAAGCATGGGGAGTAGGAAATAGCGTTGAGAGTGGGGTTTGAGGGAGGAGTGGCAATGGCGTGACCAGCATATGGTCTCCGACTGGAGGAGGAAGATCAAGAAGAGGGGTGCACAGGGAAGGGGCCATGGCACTGTTTAGAGAACAGTACCACCAGTGTGAACTGTAGCAGGGGCAGAGGATAGTGATGAGGATAATCTCTTTTTCCTTGCTTGATACGTCCTTTTGTTCCTTTCGTTCCCCTTTGTTCCCTAATTTCCTAAACCGAATCTCAGGGCGTGTTTGGATTTTCTCCTGGCGCATGGAGCTCCCCCAGGCATCCGATTTTTGAGTCTGGGTTGGAGATCCTTACCTGGCTGGCTGGTGTCCTGCCTGGCAGTTGCCAATGAATACAGCCCCTTATTGGATGCCAAATCAATGACAATCTCACCTTGGTGGGGATGGATGTCAGCCCTAGGGCACCTCGGGGCGTGCACCTAGGCAGGGAAGGCAGCCACCATGCTGCATTGGCTGCTGCCCTCTCCTGCTGTCCTGCAGACCCACCTGATCCACTTTGCATGGTGGGTTTTGGACCAGCTAGTTTTATGAAACTATGATAATTGAAATGAAAAGGATCATACATTGTGAAGTTTACTTCATAAAAAAGGGCGTACCCAGTGCAGAGAGCTCCCGCTCTGTGCAGGGTCTGGGGAAGGGTGTCAGTGGCAAGCCTTACCCTCGCCTGTGCAGTGCGAGGAGACCGCGACTCGAACCCGGGACCTTCCGGTCACAGGCGGTAAGACTACCGCTTGCACCAGGCCCGTGGCAACTATTTTTCTTTAGTCTTACACTGTTAGTGTACCTAATGGTTTATGTATTTATGGTCACAGTTAAAAATGTTTGAATGGCAATGTCATGAGTTCTAGAAGTTACAATTGGTGGGAGTAGTAAATTTTTGGAATGGAAACAGAAACAGAAGCAGAAACAGTAGGGGAAATGACTTTATAGTTGTTATATCATGGAAAGCTAGGAACTATTCAAAATATGGAACCAAAGAAAGAAAGAAAAAGGTGCTTTACAAAGAGGAAAATTAGCTAATAGAAACTATCAAGCCAAGCCATTAATCTTGTGTTCTCTCTCATTTTATGAATCCGAAAGAAGCACATCGACAGAAAGGCCTTTTTTCAACAGAGACAGATTGGGCTGCTTGTTGCCAACTATGTATACTAACCTCCATTTCAAAATAACTGACAATTTGGACATCACTATTCAATGTTTCACCGTTTGTCTTTTCTGCAAATATTTATACAAATAGCTATAAATGACATGTTTAAAGTAGTTTTGATAAGAAATCCAGTGATACTTTTCTCGCTTTACTTAGCTCAATCTTTAGCAAATATTGCTAGTCCAAGATTGAACAGTGAAGGTTAAAGTTGTCAAAGTTCTGTTAAACTTTAGTAAGCCATAAGCTTATAGCCTCTAAATATAACTTCATCTGGCATTATCAAGCTTCTGAAAATAAGGAATTCATCAACAATTTTGAAGCACCTTTTTTTACCTAATTTTCCAGTTTTGACTATATTTAATTTTACCTACTAATATATTATGTGATATATGATAAGCACCTTATATTCACGGTTGATTAGTAACATATGCACGAGTCCAAATAAGCTTATTTGGAATCAGAGTGACTATTTGATATCCCCTGGTTCATCGAAGGTACATGCCAATCAGATATAGGTGCGCACTTAAAAGTTTGTTCACTTGATTTCTCAGATTGATGTGAATGGTAAGGACGCTGCACCATTGTACAAGTACTTGACATCTCAGAAAGGTGGCTTCCTTGGCGATGGTATTAAATGGAACTTCACCAAGTTTCTTGTTGACAAAGATGGCAAGGTTGTCGAGCGATATGCTCCGACGACTTCTCCATTGAAGATAGAGGTTTGTTTCTCCACCTAACTGCACAGCTGCACATATTGGGCCCACTAAATGAGTCAATGGTTTTTCATTCTCGTGGTTTCTTCTGCAGAATGACATCCAGAAGCTTCTTGGCACTGCATCATGATTTGGTTACATGAATTATGTTCCCTGAACTCTGTATGTCACTGTTGTAATTTCATTGAAAATATGGAGCTTGGACATCTGTGTCAGTTTGTGGTTCTCTCAGTTGAAAATTATGATGGTCTAGTGTAAAGAAACTTTGTTTGATGTATAGAATGTTATTTGTGTATTTTACCTTGTTATTGATCAAATATGAAGGTCACTACAGACAAATTGGTCAGGATCATGCCACTTGATAATATGATGTTTGGCTGGCACACATGCAAAAAAAAAAAAAAAGTTGTCCTGTCTCCATACTACTTTTTTCTAAAGACTCTTGAAGCGGCTGGAATCATTACATCTTGTCTCAATTGACTAAAAAAAGTTGAAACCACATGTGAAAAATTGCGCATAATATAAAGTGAAATTTGGGCATGGCCCCTGGTTGAAAAAAAAAACCACCTATTTGTCATGCATGGGTCATGGTCATCACAAGTCATGCAAGCTGTAGCAAGGGGACTGACATTTAGGGCCTCTTTGGCAAGGCTCATACGGACTTTAGCTTCTCCCATTCGAACCGCAGCGACACTATAGATGCACTGAAGCAAAGAGCCTTCTTCCAAAAGATGGAGAAGCCGGTGAAACTAGGTTTTAGTTCCTCTTTGGTAGGGTTTCACTTAGCTTTAGCTTCACTATCGGACCCTCTTTGGTAGGGCTTCACCCAGCTTTTGCTTCACTACTAGCTACTATAGCATATAAGCCGGTTGAAACCACAAAACACTGGCTTCACCGGCTATCTAGTTCATTTTCCTACAAATGGCTTCACTGCCTTTGTGCTAAGTATCTCAACAGTGATGCTACAGTAAGTTTGCCAAAGAAGTTGAAGCCGTTTTGAGATGTGCCAAAGACACCTTTGCTTCGGGGGTTGGGGGGTTACCATAGAGGAACTGGACTTAAGACATAGACTCAAGTCTCGTTTAGGCTTGGCACCTTTGGTGGCCATTGAGAAGTTGAGAATTAGACAAAGATCTCGCCTCACATACATTTGGTGTGGAGATGCCAACACAGTTTTTCCAAATTCGAGCAAACTCGAGGGTGAGAAAAAATTACATAGATTGCCTACACACAAACATCAGCATTATCTTCTCCCATGAGAAAAAAAGGTGGTTATGGAATATTTCACTCAACACCTTGGCTCATCTGTACCTAGGTCGGCCACCTTCATTGTTCTTCGTTGGCCTTCACTCGGCTACTCTCCATCAGCGGCGGATCCAGGAATAATTTTAGGGGGGGGGAGATCTGTCCGTATCCGAATCCGGATATTCAATATCCGATACCGTATCCGTATCCGAATACTCAAATCACATATTTATGATGTCGATATCCAATCATATCGTATCCGGCATGGTTGACACTATCCGTATTCGAATACGAATCCGGACAGAAATATGAAAATAAATGTAATATCAGTGGTATCCATCCGTATCCGATCCGTTTTCATACCTATACATAGGCGATTTATAGGGCAGCTCAAGGAGATTTGTAGGAGTGGTTTTGCCAGCCGTCCCTACCATTCCGTGGCTACAGATCGCGGATTTGTAGGGGCAGTTGGCTAGCTGCCCCTACAAATCCGATCTGTAGGGGCGGTTAATGATTTTAGGGGCGTCTGGATATAGAGTTGCCTCTATAAATCAATTTTCAAAAATTCACAAATCCGAGTCCAAAAAAAAAGCAATTTTTTTAATCCGGGAAGACCCCCACCAGTTAGCCACATGTCGCAAGTTGCACATTTTTTCGCGTTAAACCGAATTGATTTTCTTTCCCACGTATTATGCTAAACCGAATTTAAATTGATTGTTTGAGGCTCTAAACGAATTTAAATAAAAAAGTTGTCAACTACAAAGTTTTATAACTTTTCGAGATCTACAACTTTAATTTTGGTAGTTTCTCCATCCGAGGTCGTTTATAAATTTTGAATTTCAAATTTGAGAAATTCAAACGTAGTTTTCCTTCACAAGATGATTTCAAATCAAAAAGTTGTCAACTACAAAATTTCATAACTTTTCGAGATCTACAACTTTTGTTTTTGCTGTTTGTCCATCCGAGGTCGTTTAAAAATTCAAATTTTAAATTTTTAAAATTCAAATGTAGTTTTTCCTTGACAAGATGATTTCAAATCAAGAAGTTGTCAACTACAAAGTTGTATAACTTTTTAGGGGTCTACAATTTTCATTTTGGTTGTTTCTCCATCCAAGACCGTTGATTATGTCGGGTGCTTCGACATCGTCGCAGGCATGTTATTCACACTTGGGACCTAGGCCCAAGTTCCTAAGAGATGCCAAGGAGGTCCTCCTCCTTGGCCGTTGGGCCTTGTAACGTGTTGGGACACCTCATGGGCGTGAAGAGGGGTCCTTGGACGCCCCTTAGGCTATATAATCAGTAGCCGCCGCCTACGTTAGGGTTTTGGTTTTGCTTTAGATCAATCTGTCATTGAATAATCACTGTTATCGGTTTGTGAAACCCCACATTCGAGATCTTAATCATATATCTGTAATTGTCACTATACTTGAGTTGCATGTTATCTTGTTCTTGCTTGTGTTCTTCGATTCTCAGCAGGATTAGCCTTCTTGGCGAGGTCAACCAAATTGTGACACGGTTGATAACTAGAGGAGACGTGGTGCTAAGGTTGTAGGATTCAGGTCTTTGTGATCTGAAACCGGATCGGTGTGTCGCTCTCCGACCAAATTGTTGTTTATCTTGAACCTGACGGAAGATTAGGAACCCCGTCCCCATCACACCGGTTACGGCACACCGGACTCGGCATCTAGAGAGCTTCGCTCTCACCCGTTTCAGCCGAGGGGCACTAGTGTTGCCGAGGAAGCTAGGGTCTCACTTGCTCTTCGTTCTTTCATGTTGCGTTCCTCTCCGGTCTGCTCCGCCGTGATTCTTGAGTGTTGCTTGGCCCATTCTGGTACAAGTTAGCTTGTGTGGATATGGCTTTGCTTGTGCTTTGCTTTTGGGATTGAATTTGGGACAGCAACCTATTTTTTGAAAGAAAAATTTAGACTTCCATTTAATGGGGACAGGGATCCCGATCTTCCATCGGTAGTGGTAACTAACGTTATGGCGGAGAATGACACACCGATCCGGCTTTAGATCGAAAGATCGAACCCTGCAATCTTAGCACCACAACTCCTCTGGTTATCAATCGAGACACGGATCCGGTTGACCACACCAAGAAGGCTAATCTCTGCCTGCGTAATGAAGAACACAAGCAAGAACAAGAAAGAAAGCAACCAAATTGCAGATGAATGATTAATCTCACGAAGTTGGGGTCACACAAACCGATGAACAACGAAACTATTCTTGACCGATTAATCTAAGCAAAACCCCAAAACCTAATGACGGCGACGGCGTTTGATTATAAAGGTCTTAGGGTCGTCTCTACCCTAAACGCGCCTCCTAATGGGCCCAAACACGATACACGGTCCAACGGACCAAAAGACGGTGTCGCGGCACCTTGGCAGATTCTGGACGCTGACTTGTTTCGACGATTCCCGTTGATTCCGAAGAGATTTTGATGTGAGACCACTTGGATTGGCTTCCTTATCAAATTAGCCTTCCATCCATGTGTGAATCGTCGAAAACAGAGTCTGGATGCGTCTTGGGTGACCAGTTTAAGGCAGACTGGTCCTGAAGGCCGAGGCAGACTTGAAATCATGTTGGACCGGGCCTTCGGTTTCTATTGGACATCCACTTATTTTGATGATTCCTGTTGACTCCGATCGAATTTTAAGGTGGGACCAGTGCCATTGGAAGCTCCATGAAATTATCTTTCCATCCATATAAAGAACGCCCAAAACGGACACCGTATGCGACTTGGGCGTCGTTTTTAGTACGTGTTGCTCCTAGACTCCGAGACGGGCTCGAACTTTAGTTGCTTTGGGCCTCCACCTCGGGGACTCGAACCAAATTAGCCTCGGGCCTCCTTCTTGACTTGGACACCCTTGCTGGCCTCCTACCCCTCCATACCATGCGCCAAACATGGTCATATGCATGGGTGTCATGTCCTCATCATCCTCCCCTTCTTGACGAAAAGTCGTCCTCGGCGTCGATTGTGCTTGAAACTGATCCTGCACAACATAAAGGAGAATGGGGTTACGAGGACAAAGGAAACTGAAATAATTGTGAGAAGTAACGTGACTATGTTTCCAAGTTTCTAGCATGTCATCTCGCATAAAAATTTCAGCAAGCATGTAGACTCCATGATCCGAATGCACACGATGTATGTCAACATTATCCTGCAAAAGATTAGAACTAACCAAAGATAATGCAGAAATAGATGGTCGAGCAGACATAGGTAGCAACCAATAATGCTCCCCTTCTTGGAAGTGAACTTGTTTCTTTGAGGAACATGAGAAAATGTTTGTATTATTATGGCTGCCCTCTAAACGATCATAATCTTGTACAATAAAAGGAGAATTCATATTACTACGAATGTATACTCGATGTATCATATATTGTCCCTTGTTGTTATATCTGCCAATAACATGATGTGTGTGTTTAGAAAACCAAGGCAAATCAGCATATTTAAAAAGGCTCTCATCCAAACAATCTAGGTTACACAAAACATCAAATTCAATGTAACCCAAAGTATGTAAAGAAGACAACAGTTTGAACTCATCAGTTTTAGTAGCAATATGAATAACATGTTTATTTTTAGCACAAGTGACTGGTTTCAAAACATGTAAAACTGAAGCATCATCAACCAATTCATCCTTATCACAAGGAACTTCAAGCAAATTATCATGGTATAGAGTTAAATCAAGAGAGAGTTCCACTAACAATTGCTCTATGACAGTATGGTTTGTGGAAAAATTTAGTACATTAAAATAATTCTCACCTTCCGTGAGTGTAGCACCATGGGCATTACCTGTGTTCTCAGCAGGAGTAATAAGTGCATTGTGAAGTGATGGTTCTAAATTTGCATATGAGGTTGTGAGCTCCTCATTTTCTTCCATGTCATCCTCTCGCTTATGGATATTATCCTGCAGAAGGTTAGTCACAGCAAGAGGAATAACAACAGACTCTTCCTCTAAATGGTGCACCTCATCATATGAAATCAAAACAGGAGGTGGATTAACAAAGGTTTCTAGCATAAGAAGTTTCATATCATTCTAAGTTTGAGGTTTATCAGAAGAATCTAAATACTCCCACCAAGATAAAGCAGAATATCGCAAAACACTAGCTGTATTTTTTACCTTCCTCCTTGGACACATAAAGCGAGTAGCAAATATGTTGTCGATGGTAATTTCCCACTCCATGTACTCATCAACACCTATACCATCATAAGTCGGTGGATGTTGACTTTGGACGATTCCTGGCCTTATAATGGTAACCTTGTGCTCGTTGAAGTTCCCATGAAGTTATCTTTAGATCCGCATACATCATTGAATAATCGCACACCGATGCTCATTTTGTTGTTTTAGTACTTTGAACAACTTTGTCATTGTTAGAAGACAGCAAAAGACAACACAAAAGTATTATCCCTATCAACTACTTAGGTTGTTGAGTCACTTTTCACAGCAAGTGGAAGCGTCTTACCAAGCTCTTACAAAGTTCTTACCAACACAAGCAGTGGACGGTACAACCGGCGGCTGGTTCGTGATACCTGTGAGGCAGTGGTACCGAGATTGCAAAGGCCATTTTTCTGTACTGATCTGAAGTATATATGTGGAGCTTGGGAGGCTTAAAATATGGTAACAAGGAATAGCAATAATTTAATTCAGAAATTGCAAGATTGAAAAGTAGTCCCAAGCTAGTCTATGTTGTCAGCCTAAACTCGTCCCGGACCTAGTTCAAGAAAGTAACAGTAGAGCTCGGCACAAAGACTCAAAGGATGCAAGCACTTCTAAATTGTTTTTTTTTCACTTTCTTTTTTTTTTCTTGCTCTTTTTTTCTCTTTTTTTAGGGTGCGGCTTTTTTTTGCACCTTTGCCTTTTATTCTTTTTTTCAACCAGAGAACCCAAACTGCAGTAATATATTACAACTCAACCTGACAACAAATTGCACTCTACAGGCGAGGAACAGCTAGAAGATTTTATGCAACAGGACATGTTGAACTATGCTGCTCAAACACAAGGTTATAGGCAATCCAAAGCTTTCAGCACTGAATGTAGAGTTACTGGGCAAACGTGAGGCAGACTCCCTGCGATGCTTTTTCTAAAAACGCCTCCTTGTTTTTAAATAGTGCATTAGCAGATTGGAAACTTTAACGTAGAGTCAAAAAGATTATAGGACTCTCTAACCAAGTAAACTTCTTCTTTTGCAAAAAATATGCTGACCAGCAAACTCAAAGCATGAACCAGGAACTAGATATGAATGAGACCTAAACACGGCGAAACGATGACACGCCGAGGGACGACCGTTCAATAAAGCAAACTGAAATTAAAATATTGTAATGGCACAACAGGTGATAGGATGAGAAAACAAAGATTAACATAAATATTTTTGTGGGGCAATTTTTAGGATTTATAGGACAAAGACAAAACAAAACTAAGGTAATGATAAACTCGACGGTAATACCTGAAGCTCTGATACCACTTAATGGGGACGGAGATCCCGATCTTCCGTCAGGTAGTGGTAACTAACGTTGTGGTAGAGAATGACATACCCATCCGGCTTCACATCGAAAAATCGAACCCTACAATCTTAGCACCACAACTCCTCTGGTTATCAACCAAGACATGGATCCGGTTGACCTCGCCAAGAAGGCTAATCCCTGCCTGCGCAACGAAGAACACAAGCAAGAACAAGAAAGAAAGCAACCAAATTGCAGATGAATGATTAATCTCATGAAGTTGGGGTCTCACAAACCGATGAACGGCGAAACTATTCTTAACAGATTAATCTAAGCAAAACCCCAAAACCTAATGATGGCGACGGCGTATGATTATAAAGGTCTTAGGGTCGTCGCCTACCCTAAACGCGTCCCCTAATGGGCCCAAACACGATACACGGTCCAACGGACCAAAAAAAGGTGTCGCAGCACCCTGCCAGATTCTGGACGCTAACTTGTTTTGACGATTCCCGTTGGTTCCGAAGAGATTTTGATGTGAGACCACTTGGATTGGCTTCCTTATCAAATTAACCTTCCATCCATATGTGGATCGTCAAAACGGAGTCCGGATGCGTCCTGGGTGACCAGTTTAAGGCAGACTGGTCCTAAGGCCGAGGCAGACTCGAAATCATATTGGACCGGGCCTCCGATTTCTATTGGACGTCCACTTGTTTTGACGTTTCCCGTTGACTCTGATCGAATTTTAAGGTGGGACCGGTGCCATTGGAAGCTCCATGAAATTATCTTTCCATCCATATAAAGAAAGCCCAAAACGGACACCGTATGTGACTTTGGGCGTCGTTTTTAGTACGTGCTGCTCCTAGACTCCGAGACGGGCTCGAACTTTAGTTGCTTTGGGCCTCCACCTCGGGGACTCGAACCGAATTAGCCTCGGACCTCCTTCTTGACTTAGACACCCTTGCTGGCCTCCTACCCTCCATACCATGTGCCAAACATGGTCGTATACATGGGTGTCATGTCCTCATTATCATTCACCTCTTCTTGTCGCCGTTCTCAGTCCTTCGTAGGCTAAATGACATGAATTAGAATATAGTAGTCCCCTGTCCCAAAATAATTCGTTTTTAGAGTTAAACTTCTTTATATTTGACCAATTATATGTGGAAAAAATACTATAATTTTTCTTATGCGCAATTAGAGTCATCAGGTTGGATTAGTAGTGAAATATATTTTTATAATAAACATGTTAGAAAATATAAATGTCGATAATATTTTGTATAAATCGAGTAAAACTAAAAAAATAACTTCTTGAAAACTGGATGAGAAATTATTTATGCCGAAGGGAGTACATAATAAAAACAGTTTAGAGACTCACCTGGTTTTTTATTGATACTAGGTTCATACCTGTGCGTTGCTACGGGACAACTAAACTTTTGTGCTAAAAACAAACAGATCGCACAATAAGATAACAATACTATGAAATTAAATACCGATGTTAATGTGACATTTAATTAAAAACACAAAATGACAACATGTTCTTCCTTGTTAAAGTAGATGATAATTTTGAGTTAGCTTATGAAGCTCTTGATGCCATCCAACCTGACATGCAACAGTAGAAATTGGCCCATGCTTTGCTACGGGCTCATAAAATTTGGACAAAAAATAATATAATGCAGAACAACAAATAAATGAATATATGTCATATGCCTAAAAAAATTGAAGGTAACGTATCATGCAGATTAACGTCAAGTTTACGTAATATGTTCCAATGCAGTTGGCCAATACATGTTAGCAAAGCTACATCGTCGAAGAATACCTAGTTTGACTGGTTGCTCACCATGTTTGTGTTATTGGATAGTCGTTGGCTGGTGCTTTTTTTTTTCAAATGAGAAATATGCAACTTCTCAAAACTCCAATAAATAACACTTGTAGCTTTGCTCATGAAATGCAAGAGCCTTGTGATCTTGATATGTCCTTCTTCCATGCCAGACCGTAATTGCTTGATCATAGCTCTTGCACCACAGACATCGAACAGAGTTGCTGCTATAGGCCTCCAATCCGATCTTTGTTGGTTAGCCATCACAGCAGAAAATTTAAATTAAAAAACAATAAGATGATTGTAACATTTATTAAATCCAACCTGTAATAAATTAACAAAAATCAACCCAATGTCAGCTTATATGTTACTATCAAGCTGATTGGAAACCTACATCCCTCATATATCCCTTTTTTTGCTCAAGCATATCACATATGTTGTATGCATCTATGAAATGCTATAAGTAAGAAATGGACCAATGGAGGCAATATAAAGACTAAAAAATAACTATATGTAAGTGTCTGGGAAAACCATCTTCCCGTTACTCTCCATGCTAAGCTTTATAACATATAATAATCATGTCAGCATGTCACAACTAAAAAATAACCAAAAGAGAATGTCCAGATGGTACTAAAACAAAACATAGTTACCTGTTGTATATGTGGTGCCAATTTCTCAAGTGCCTGGGAATATGGCAATATTGCCTAGAATACACATTCAACAGAAAAAAAAAATACTCAGGATGCATTTTTTTAGATAATAATGGAACAAAGTTCCAGCAACTAATCTGTAACTGCAAATAACACAGAAACGGAATAGTTGCTTACTCTAGCTGGATAACCAAGAAATGAAACATTCCACACACTCAACAAACCAAGGAGTACCTGCCCATAAATGATAGAAAATGTGAGACTGATTTTTCCGAGTATCTAAAATCATTGACTACTGTATGAAACCCACTTACAGGTATATTTTTCTCAAATGAAGATGAGTAGAAGTGGTTGTCGATGCTGGAAGCTCCCTCCAAAAATCTTCAAAAGGTAAAAAGGAAATGTCAAGATAGTACTGGTAATCTACGATCTTACTCTGAAAATGATTTTTTCTGGCTTCCAATATTTTCATTAATACTTCAAATAAGACATAGTTATTAGACTTTGTGGTATTTGATGATTTAATCCAGGCCCTATTTGGGGTTCTTAAATAATCCTAAAAACACCGAAGCAAATTTAAAGAAGATATGGTCCACTTGAGGTACAAATTTAAGGACCAACTGTCCAAACCACACCTTTCGGATGTTTTGATTCGAGGGTTTACTTGTTACAAACACAAAAACAAATCCAACACCAGACATTGATTCCAGACCCTACATTAATTCCCACATCCTGAAACAATACTGTACTACGCCAACATATTTAGCATTTTGCCACACGGAATGAGATCCGATCTTCATCTACCATCGTAAAAGGTACAGAAAGAGCATGTTCCTTTGTTTTGAGGAATCGAAGAGCAAGATCTTTTTGAACGCACATTTCCCTAAGTATTCTCATATTTGCTTGTCACAAATGTCTACTCATCTTATTTTCAACTTGCAGTCGACTCTGATAGACATTGACCATAGAAGTTGTAACCTCAATATTTAAGGGCCTGCGAAACTACAAGAACTACATGTAGTATGTTAGTGTTGGGGCATATTTTTGCTTGTACTTTGCATTGCTTTTGGGTTAAAAATAACTATATGTAGAAAACCAAAAGTGGAGCAATCTTTGGAAAGACAAAAAATTACTCAACGTGTCCCAGACAGTGGGACACATATTGGTGTATCAAAAAGAATCAAGGTTGTAAACTGCTAGAATACTATCAGAGTCTTCACCCGGATGTGGCAGCTTGACAGTTGGTGTCTTAGTAGATAATCTGTTAGAACTTGACTTTGAATTTCAAATTTGTTGCTTTGCCTAGCGTTGAGTCAGGTGGTAGCCTTAGGTTACAGATATAGGCATTTATCTCTATTTGAAGATGATTTAAGCACTGCTTTGGATTTCATCATAAATTTGAAGATGATTTAAGTATGTAAAGTTGATTCACTTTTTTAATTCACTTCTTATTTTCTCGATCAAACATTCTCATCACCAATAGGAGCATAGAAACAGTATGGATATCAATTGCAAATAGCTCACCAGGGCAAAGTATAGTGACCATTTCACCAAATTGGATTATGCAATGTCAAACCTGCAATCACTGAATCATTTCTCAATTGTAATTATCCATGTAGTCAGAAGAGCACTTCTACAAGGTATATAGAGGAGAGAATATCTCTAACCACAGCACAGAGAACAACCTGACGGATTTCTGAGTCCTTGCTCGGTAGCTTGAGGAAGCATTTGGAGAAGGTGCAATCTAGGAATACAAAGTCAAGTCAGCAAATGTTTTTGTTTCCTTTCTTTGTTATGTACTTCATTGGCAAATTCTGTACGCAATCTGGTGTAAGCCGACAGTCCCCTGTGTGAAGTATGGTACCAAATTGACCCTCAAACAAGAACTTGACTGCCCCTGAAATCACCAAACAGGCCAAGCATAAGCCATCCCTCACTCCTAGAAGCACATAATGAGCGTACTGAGCTCAAATCAAACAGAACAATGGACAACTGTTCTCTACACAAAGACATATTATCACAATACATTTACATTTTATTAGGTTCCATAACAAATAAATCACAGAGCATTCACGACATGCTCCTAATTAATTATTTTTGTCTAATTACCACAAGTAAATTCCACTCCCTTATGATTACCAAAGTTATGACACTGACAGAAATGGAATAATTAGAACGGACACATTACCAGGGCAGTGATTTGCGTCGTACGTGGTGACAGAGAAGGCGCCGGTGGCATCATCCACTCCCAAATCCCCAACTACGTCACACCGCGACGCAAGAGCCTTTAGCAAAGACAGCAACAGATACGTTTTGGCGGAACTGAACATACAGAGGGAGGGAAAGTGGTTAATTACCTGCGGAAAGTGCCGCAGTGCAGGACTCGAGCCAGTCCGGCCGCAGAAGCAACCCGAGCCGCCGAAGGTACTCGTCCACCGGCCGCAACCGCCCGCTCAGCGGGGACGGGTGCGGAGGCGCTGTTGATGCAAGCCTCTTTCAATTTCATCCTGTACAAGCAGAATATTCAGAAGTTGAAAACAACTAAAAGACAGCCAGAACAAATCGAGTGGTTTGTATAGGTAATTGCTTTGCACCTTTATGGCCTTAGCATCGCCCCAGGGTGTCTCTTTGTAACCGGTCTGCATAGCATACCAACTGAAGAAAAGCCAAAAAGAACAGGATTAAGGATTAGGTCTGACAATCATCCATCTGTGTACACTATGCTAACATAGCATCATGAAGAGGATGCATGCAAGATTACCTCCTCTGGGTCAAGTAGGGATGTTTCCCAAAGCATTTTAATCATCCCTCGCATTCCACCAAGGACCTGCAGGAACATTATTAAGGAATTTCACATTGCACTTTAATATATGCTCTAGAAAAGCAAAAGAACTATCCATAGGCAATTGATAACAGTATATCGTACCACATCCACAGTTATGTTTCCAAGCTGGACCTTTTTCCAAGCTTCTTCAAGCAATTATGTAACATAACAACACAGACTAACATCTGAGAACAGCAAGGCCAGATGAATAGGTGTTCATGTCACAAAGACAAGTGGTCAGATAAACCAGGTGTGAAGTTGATTCTCTTATACTTATAAATTTGACAACCACAGCTAGGTGCAAAACTGAAGCGTGCAGGCGGAGCTCCGCGCAGGCCAGGACGCACGCGCCGACGCGCGCTCGTTGTCCACCCCGCCGGCACCTATTGGCCTGTTGCCGCCTGGCATGCTCGCTTGGCCCGGTTAGTCGTTGAACTCTCGCTCTCGGTAGTAGCAGAATTCTTATTTTCATCGAGAGAGGATGACACTAGGAGTTAGGGTAATTTTCTGGTTTATTTTTCACACAAACTCACACAAATGCCATACCAACCTGAGGGGTTAGGGATACATATTTATAGGCTGCTAGTCAGCCAAGCATATGCCAAGATGCTAGTCTAAGATGCTAAGATGCTGTCCTCTAAGATGCTGTCTTTGTGGCAGCAACAACCAGCAGCCCCACAAAGACCACAGCAGCCAGATTTATTCATCATTCTCCCCATAAGTCTTGTGCGTCGTCTTGTGGGAAAGTTGAACCATCCCGGTCCTGGAGCAGAGCTTAAGGAACTTGATCCTCCCAAGGGGCTTGGTAAGCAGGTCCGCAAGCTGGTTCTTGGTGTTGATGTAGCTCGCCTTGATGCTCCCGTCCTCCAAACAGCCTCGGATGAAGTGATACCTCACCCGGATGTGCTTACTCTGTTCATAGAAGACGGGGTTCTTTGTCAGGGCCAGAGCGGACTTGCTGTCCACCCTGAGCTCCACCGCTCTAGTGTCTCTGTCGAGGAGATCACCAAGCAGTCGAGCGAGCCAGAGCGCCTGAGTCGAAGCGGTGGAGGCCGCTATGTACTCGGCCTCGCAGCTGGACAGGGCCACCACCTGCTGCTTGACCGACTGCCAGCTAACGAGGCACTTGCCGAGGAAGAAGAGGATCCCGCTCGTGCTCTTGCTGGTGTCGATGTCGCCGGCGTGGTCGCTGTCGCTGTACCCGACGAAGTGTGCCGCCCCAGGGCACCTAGGGTAGTAGAGGCCGTGGTCGAGAGTCCCCGCAACGTAGCGGATGATCCTCTTCACAGCCTCCTGGTGCTCCGTTGTCGGTCGCTGCATGAACCGACTAACGTAGCCGACGGAGAATGCCAGGTCCGACCGTGTGTGGGCGAGGTAGCGAAGGCTCCCCACAAGACGCCGGTACTGCGTAGCATCCACCTCCTTCGCCGTGCTGTCGCGGCTCAGCTTCAGCCTCTCCTCCATCGGAGTGAGAGCTAGGTTGCAGTCGGTGAACCCAGCTAGCTCAACGACGCGCTTGGCGTAGGCGGTCTGTCGAAGCGTGATCCCGGAGTCATCCTGGTGCACCTCGATCCCTAGGTAGAAGGAGAGAGGTCCCAGATCACTCATTTGGAATGTGGCCTTCATCTCTTCCTTGAATGCCGCCACCTCCACATCCTTGGTGCCGGTGATCACCAAGTCGTCGATGTAGACACCCACCAGCAGAGCATTTCCTCCACTGCCTCGTCGGTAGATGGCCGCCTCGTGCGGGCTTTGCTCGAAGCCCATCCCCTTTAGCGTGGAATCCAGCTTGGCATTCCACACCCTCGGTGCCTACCGCAAGCCATAGAGGGCCTTGCGCAGGCGGAGCACCTTGCCCTCCTTGCCAGGGATCACAAATCCCGGCGGCTGGTGCACGTAGACCTCCTCCTTCAAGTCGCCGTTAAGGAATGCCGATTTGACGTCCATGTGATGAACACGTCAGCCCTTCTGGGTAGCTAGCGCAAGGAGGAGTCGCACGGACTCCATCCGTGCCACGGGAGCAAAGGCGTCGTCGAAGTCGACCCCCTCCTACTGCACGAAGTCTCGTGCCACCAAGCGAGCCTTGTGCTTGATGATGGCACCGACTTCATCCCTCTTCAGCTTGTACACCCACTTAAGGGTGATCGCGCGGTGACCACGAGGAAGGTCAGCAAGCTCCCAGGTGCGGTTCTTCTCAACCACATCCATCTCCAACTGCATCGCGGCGCGCCATGCCGCGTGTCTCTCGGCCTCTGCAAACGACCGAGATTCGCCATCGTCACACGCAAGGTGCAACTGCGCCTCCAGGTCGTGAGGCACCGGTCCCGGCACCGGCTGGTCGCCGAGAAGGTTCTCCAGCGTACGGTACCGCAACGGCTCGCCGTCGTGGTACGCGTCGACGCGCTCCTCGTCATGAGAGAGCGGAGTAGCGAGCTCAACCGGGCCGTGCTCGACACGAGCTGGTGGTGGGGTAGACGTGCCCGGAGTGGTGCCTGTCGGTGCTGGAGTGCATGGCGTTGCCGGCTGTGGTGGAGCTGGCGAAGAACTCATTGCAGCCGAGGTCCTGGCTGGAGAGCGTGGTGCTGTCGGAGTAGCAGGCGCCGGGGTCGGTGGAGGCTCGGGGACTGGGGTAGATGCACTCGCCGAAGAAGAGCTGCTTACTCCCCAAGCTCCCTCGAAGTGGACGTACTCGACAGTGAAGTCATCGTACGTCGGAGCCGAGCCGTCGTCCACCACCTTGTCCCACGCCCATCCTTGCCCTTCGTCGAACACAACGTCGCGCGCCGTGCGTACACGCTGTGTCTTCGGGTCGAGGATGCGGTAGGCCTTCGAGCCCTCCGCGTAGCCGATGAACACTCCCGGAGTGCTCCTGTCGTCGAGCTTGCTGATGTGGCCAAGCTCCTTGGCGAACGCGAGGCAGCCGAAGACCCGCAAGTGGGAGACCGCTGGCTTGCGCCCATGCCAAGCCTTGTACGGCGTCCTGCTGTCGAGCGCCTTGGTAGGCGAGCAGTTGAAGATGTAGACGGCCGTCACCACCGCCTCTCCCCAGAAGACAGCCGGCATCCCCCTCTGCTTGAAGAGGGCCCAAGCCATCCCCACAACCGTCTGGTTGCGCCGCTCGACGACGCCGTTCTGCTGTGGGCTATACGGCGTGGAGTAGTGGCGTTGAATGCCCTCGTCAGTGCAGTACGACGCGAATTCAACCGCCGTGAATTCGCCACCGTTGTCAGTGCGCAGCACGTGCAGCTTGCGGCCGCACTCCGCCTCCGCAGCAACCTGCGCGCGCCTGATGGCGTCCGCAGCCTCTCCCTTGCTGCCGAGGACCATCACCCACATGTAGCGGGAGAGGTCGTCGACGAGCAGCAGGAAGTAGCGTCGTCCTCTCGGTGTGGCAGGTGTCACCGGGCCACACAAGTCCCCGTGCACAAGCTCGAGCCTCTCCTTGGCTCGAAAGCTCGCCCGCTGGGGAAAGGGGAGTCGCCTCTGCTTCGTCAACACGCAGACGTCGCAGAGCTGCTCCACATGGTCGAGGCACGGCAGACCTCGCACCATCTCCGTGGCACTGAGCTGCTTCAGGGCCTCGAAGTGAAGGTGCCCGAAACACTCATGCCACTGCCATGCCTCGTCATCCCGACGAGCAGCGAGAAAGAGGGGTTGTGCCACCTGCACGTTGAGGACGTAGAGTCGATTTGCGCTTCTGGTTACCTTGGCAAGAAGGCGACGCCGGCGATCCCAAATCCTCATGACTCCATCCTCAACCACCACGCGTGAACCGTTCTCATCCAGCTGTCCCAAGCTGATGATAGAGTTTCTCAACGTGGGGATGTAGTAGACTCCGGTGAGCAACCTGTGCTCACCAGACACGACGGTGAAGATGACGGAGCCGACGCCCTTGATCTCCACGCCCGAGGCATCTCCAAACTTGACGGAGCCTCGAACGCTAGAGTTAAGCTCGGTGAAGAACTCCCATCGACCGGTCATGTGATGGGTGACGCCGGTGTCGAGGCACCACCCGTTAGTCTTGTCGTTGCTGGAGCTGTCGCCGAGGAGGGCGTGTGCTTTTGGCTCGTCAAGGTGGAGGAGAGCCGCTGCGGCCGGTTCCGCTGGAGGTAGCTCGATTCTTGCATGTGCCATGAACAGAGCTGGCTCCTCCTCCTCCGCCTGTGCGACGTGGGCCTGGCCACGTCGTGGCTGTCGGTAGTCCTTGGCCCAATGGCCAAGCTGGCCGCTGTTGCGGTAGGCGTCGTCTCGTGCCGTCTTGTGCCTGCCGGCGGCGCCGCCCTGGGTGCCTCCGCAGGCATCACCCTCGGCACGTCCTCGCGCCCCGGCCTGGGCGTCTCTATGCGCCTTGCGTGGCTTGCCACGCTTGCGACCGCCTGTCGTGGAAGAAGGCTCCCCCTTCTTCCGGTCACCTTGACTGGCAAGCCACTGCTCCCGAGTGAGAAGGAGCTTCCCGCTAGTGGTGATGGGCCCCGAGAGAGACTGTGGCTCATGGCTGTCGATGACCTTGAGGCGACCTATCGCCTCCTCGATCGAGATCATGGAGAGATCCAGCAGGGACTCGATCGAGCGAGCCATCTGCTTGTACTTCTCGGGGGCATAGCGAAAGAGCTTTTCGACAGCTCTCTCCTCGCCGTAGGTGTCATCGCCGAACTACACCATCTTCTGCAACAGAGTGTTGAGATGGAGAGCAAAGTCATCAACGTCCTCACCTGGCTTGAAGGCCAGGTTCTCCCACTCCTTACGAAGTGCCTGCAGTGTGGACTTGCGGGCACGGTCGCTGCCGATGCGTGCCGCAGCGATGGCGTCCCAAGCCTCCTTGGCAGTCCGCTTGTTGGTAAGCGAGAACTGCATCTCAGGTGGGACTGCAGCGATGAGGGCATCAAGCGCCCGTCGATCTAGGTCGTAGTAGACGTCACCGTACCGAACTGCCTCCCACATGTGCCGCACCTGGAGCTTTACCCTCATCACCGTAGCCCACTCGACGTAGTTGGTCTTGGTGAGGGTAGGCCACCCACCACCGGGACCGACGTCCCTGACAGCAGCCTGGAGCCCGTGGTAACCACGGTACCGATCCGGGAGAGAGAGCCACGCCGCCTGTGAAGGCCACACTCTCCATCGACCCGTCCGCCACCGTTGCCGTGCGCGCCTCCTCCAGGAGCGCCGCCGCCGTGCGCGCCTCCACCAGGAGCGCCGTCGGTGCGTCCGCGCCTGTCTGGGCTACCGCCGCGCTCGTGGGCATGCGTGGCTGCCCCAGGAGCGCCACCGCCATGCGCACCTCCTCTAGGAGCACCGCCAGCGCATCCGCGCCTGTCTGGGCTGCCGCCACACTCGTGGGCGTGCGCGGCTGCCCACTGCGTCGCCCGCGCTCACGCTGCCTCCCTCTCTAGCAGCTCGAGGTCCGCGTC